GATTTTCTAGACTATCACCAATTGTATATTAAAATATACCTGGAACCTTACAAAGACAACAAGAAGCAAGGACAAGGAAATCAATCGTTTTATGTGAGCTCATCACAAGGATATTGGATATGTAGGAGGTTGTTTTCCAGTCAATACTTACTCGATTTGTTATGGTTTATCAATCCATTGACCTATAAGGTCGATGTACAGTTTCAACTCTTTAAGATGCCGAAGGCAAGATTCTTCAAACCAAAACGCAATGACATCATTAGTGAGATTTCAAGTCCCACTAACGTTGTTAAACATGTACATGTTACTTACGACCAAGAGACAGGGCAGTTCCATGGGATACCTGATTACTGGAAAGAAATGATAGACAATTCGAATTTCTCAGTCGAAGACCGAAAAAATAATGCGGACAAAATTCTTAACGCTGTGACGGCTTTCAAAGAGTCTCAAAAAACTAAGTACTTGGGTTTTGAGGGCTTGGAAAGTGTTGATGAGGGTTTGGTTGTGTTTTTTTGTTACACTAGTTTTTGTAGATGATGAGTTGGAAAGGAAAATGCGATTGTTTATTTTGAATCCAAAAGAAGAAAAGAACAGTACAAGTGCCGCATCATCTCATCCAAAAGTCAAGCCTGCCGTACATGTAAATGAAAGGAAAAATGGTGCTCTCACTCCTCCTGTACCTCCACCAAAGCCATCTGCCAGTGATTCAAATAAGGTTTGTAGCTTTAAATTTCAATGCTTATCATTTTGTAGCAAGCAGCCCCCTTGCTCCGCAAACGTGTTCGCAGGAAACTCACAGATGAGGAGTTCTATTCAGAATTAGGTCAGTACCACCTCAAAATCTTTTTAACTGTCAATTAATTTCCATTTGATTTGTTTTCACGATTATTTAAATCAAAATTATCAGATTTATGTATTTCGAAACTTTATTCTAGATTCCGTAATAACTCCCGGAAACCCTCGTGATGTGTATTCTATCGAAAGCGAACTTGGTACAGGGTATGTACCTATTTATTCCTTACAGTACTGTTGCTAACGTATTTTCGCTTTTGAGTTTTTAATGTTTGCAGTGTGTCTGAAATAATATTTTTTTCGCGTTTCTTAGTAGACACTCGAAGACTTTAAATGTCACCAACTTCATAGTGCTCCGTAACGTTATATTTGACAAAAGTTTAGTCCACTTGCTTCTGTATGAACTATATACAGTCTTTACTTGAAATGTGGGCATTCGATAATAAAATAAAGTGTTTTAAACGTTAAAATAAGGCCTTTGAGTGACAGTTCAGCTGACATGTTGCTCCACTATAATCTGTCGGATTTCTATGTACTTCTTGGCCAGTCAGTTAGTCACACAACGTAGGACATAGCTTACATGTGTGTCAGTTCAAGTTGCCCCACTACAATATCATAGCCATATGAATATTTTCATACAAATCCAAGATTTATAAAAGCAGTAGCAGTAAAACAAACTAGATGTGGACTATGTAATTCGAGAAAAAAGAATGATTTCCTAGAACAAAGAATTATGAGGTTGGTAGTGGCTTGCCATACGTAATATATATTCCAACCGCAATCCACAAAGGTTCACTACCTCTCTAACCGATAAGTTTTCATCTTTTCTGCTCAATCATCCCGACATACACAGACACTTCTGATCAAATTCTAGTAATGTATAAATTGTCTGTGCTTCTAAAGGCCACATTAGAAAGGTATAAAGTAAAACAAGTCGAGCTACTAATTAGTATATTCATCCATTTGTTAGTAGTTGAACATCCCGTCCATGCCATAAGTGATACAAACTGTCGGAAGCCGGTCGAGCGTTTTGAATCGTTGCCGAAGTTTCGACATGCATCAGTCCACCAGGTTTGACGAAAATTCCACGACAAGCGAAGTGCTGACGCATTTAGCTGCCCCACTACCTACCATTGATCTATACCTAAAGCAAAATTTTGCATTTTAGAGGAGAGAATCGCATCCCAGTCACGCTTACATTGTTGCCCATGGTGTCCTGAAAATTGCATATTGCCAGCGTCCTCACCAAGTAAAACTGTGTCATTTGTATATTCCACTCAACAAGTTAGTCTGCTAAAAGGAAAGTCGGACGACTAGAGCTTTATCTCTGGTCAAATATGTTTGTTGAAGTAAAAAAAGTAGGGAAAGTAAACAACTGAATTGGACACCACTTGAGGTTGATAAGTCTGTTAGTTTAAGTTCTAAATCGACCATTAGTGTTCGAGTTCAGATCCTGTACACGGTTGGTATACTTCTTTGGTATGCTTTCAATGATAGACTGCCATTAAATCTGTCGAGCAACAGAGTCAAATGCTGCCCTAGGTCCAATAAATATAACTATAGGTGGGCGTTGATCAGTATTCCTGTGTTCTGGGACTTGAGTGAATGTTTAGTCGGCACTTCGATTTCCAGGTCTGAAATTAGCCTGGTTCGTTCGGGATGGTCGGTAGCTACCGACAAACTTAACAAGACGGAGGATCTTAAGTAACTCCAATCTCTCAAATCCTACAACTAGGCCCAGATTGCCTACGCTCGGCTACGTTTAAAGATGGTGGCAAATTCTGGTCTGGAAACTGGGTTATTTGGAAAATTTTGGGGAGTGGGAAGTGTCGTATCACTTTGGGGTGTAACGATCGTCGTCCCTTTCTTCAAAAGAGTCAACGTAATCTATACAACAGTTGTCAAGGTCTAAGTTTGCGTGTAGTTGCCCCCAAACTGCTTCCATCCGTCATGCTTCGCTCATTGTTCAGAACCCGCGGAAAACAGACTCACAAGAATGGGAGGTTTTGAAGGCGATAGATAGGTATAGTTGCCTAACATCCTGAGGTCGGAAGGGTCATGTTTCACTAGCGCAGAACAGAACTCTGTTTGGTAACTCAGATCTTTTACAGTCAGACTAGCATCAAAACAGCCTCAGAGATGGCCCAAATTGGTATAGACTGCTCTGGTTTCACTATGCATAGGTTGATCGCATTTACTACCCTAACTCTCAAACCTACCCAAAAGATACGTAAATTTTTCTGTTATTTCAAATTGTTTACTATAAAACGTTAGTATGAAAACCGGCTTCTCCCTGACTTGCCGAAATACTTTGCTTTTCTGAAGTGATAAATGTATTATGAAATTTTGGACGCACTGTAGAATGATTAAATGCAATTTGAATAATGGGTGCATCATCGTATAGTATTAAAATATATCATCTGCCTTCACCATAGGTGACGTAAGTTGGCGAAAGCCAAACGAGCTTTTCGAATCCGTGCTGAAATTTCGTCAGACACCAATCCATTAGGGCTGATCAGACTTCCAATATAAGTGAGGTTGTCAACGCGTTCGACTACTTCACTCCCTATCCTTAGTTCAGGTGTTGACGCAGACCAGTCCTGAAGCAACAACTTGCATTTCGAGGGAGAGAAGCGCATTCCAAACATTCTGGCATTGTTGCTTAGTGCTACCAGAAGACTGCATTTTATCAGCGTCTTCACCAAACAGGACTATGTCATCTGCGTATTCTAAGTCGATAAGTGGACCTGCTGGTAGGAGATCAATACCCGAGAATTCAGTCGACGAGAATGTTATTTCCATCAGTAGGTCTATGATGAAGCTAAACAAAAGTGGAGAAAGTGGACAGCCTTGACGGACACCACTTGAAGTTGCAAAAGCAGATGACAGTTCGCCATAATCTCTCACTCGACTAGTAGTGTTCGAGTAAAGAGCCTTCACAAGGTTTATGTACTTCTGAGGTACGCCTTTCAATGACAGACACTGCCACAGAAACTCGCGGTCTACCGAGTCAAATGCTGCTTTTAAGTCAAGAAAGACCACCATTGTCAAACGTCGATAAGTATGCCTGTGTTCTAGAACCTGACGAATGGTGAATATGTGGTCGATGCAGCCACGACCGGGTCTGAAGCCAGCTTGATTCTCTCGTGTTTGCAGTTCACAAGTCTCAGTTAGGCGTCTGATAATTATTGAGGCTAGTATTTTAGATGATATGCTAGTCAACTTAATCCCTCCATGGTTATCACAACATGACTTTGATCCCTTCTTATATATTGGGAAAACCAGTGATCAGCCTCGTTTTCAGAACTACCTAAGTGTGACCTCAGTTTTTCCTGGAATCTACTTTTGTCTTCCTCGTCAATGAGTTCGACTATAATGCGTTTTCTTGATGGGTTTTCCTGCTTCCAGAGAGGCGCAAGCAAACACGTGCTCGTAATAAAGCATGATTGGAGTTCAAATAGGTATTTCAGAATGAGCAACAATCTTCTACCGAGCCTCTCCAGTGATGATCGATGGCAATATTGTCTATTTGAGTCCATCGTTGGTTTGGTGCAGGGGATCGCCATGTTTGACGATGTCTCTCCTTATGCCTAAAGTTGGCACTTGCTAAAAATAAGCGATTGTATGAGAACAGCTGCAGCAGACGATCACCGTTATTTGTTCGTTGTTCCGGAATACTAAAAGACCGACCTAAATGCCTTTCTGTTTGGTTTAAGTTACCAACTTGGGCATTAAAGTCACCTGCTACGGGTACCATGTCTGAACGTTTAACTTTCTGAAGAAGTTCAGATAGCTTTCTTTAAAGTTCATCTTTCACTTCATCCGAGCTCCAGTCGGTGGGTACGTAGGCAGAAACGACAGAAAGGCAACGACGTGTGTCCCTATCATTCCGAGTTCTTACATAGCTGTTTAGCCGAACAGCACATAGACGACTGTTAACGGGGATCCATTCTAATAGTGCTTGTTCTGACCCCGTATTTAGTGCTATTCCTACACCTGCTCGTCCGCGAGAACTAGCCATCGGGTCTCCAGATACATGGATCGTGTATCTCGTCAACTCTTCGTTTTGGCGAGGTGAGGTCAAGTGAATAACCACATAAGAATCCTGTATGTGTGTTTCGGAGACACAGCATACATCAATGGTACGAAATTCCGAGGTTTTAGCGAAGGAGACCTGCTGACCGATTTGAAATAGGGTGCGTATGTTGAAGGCTCCAATGTGTAGTTTGGAGCGGGATTATTTTAGTTGACCTGGGACAGTGTTTTGCGCACAAGAATCGTTGGCTATGGTGACACTTGAGGTGGAAGCCGGGAGAGGAAATTTAAAGTTGAAAGTCGATGTCGGAGGAATAATAGGAATTGAAGAGGGAGGTTGATTATGAATACAGTGGTGTTGAGTGCTGTTGGAGGTGTGAGGGCGGTTATCACTTCCCGGTTGCCCACACCGTGGAAGGGTTCTTCTGGAGGTACCTGGAAAGGAAATTGGATTAAAGGTGGTCTTAGTGACCTGAGAGCGTGACCGCAGTGCCCAAGGGACAACTGCTTGAGGTCGGTCACACACGACCTTGTTACGGGTAATTTTTGTGTTAGCTCCGTACTGATTGAGACCTTACCTCCAGAGACGGATCTCCGTGGGATAAGGCGAGGTGTGCATTTTTAGGGTCGACCTATTCTAACCTCACCCCTCCTTGTGGGAAGGCAACAGCGCTATCATGCTGGTTGTCTGAAGGGAACATCTTTCTGCTGTCACACCTCTGTACAGTCAGCAGTACAACTTCGCTCTCGGACATTGGGTTTACTGCTTTTAGACTTACCGCTCTTCAACCGACCTGTCTGACATGGTAGGACCTTGAGGAACAGTTGTTCCATCCAGTATAGCTCGGTTGCTTCATTACGATAGGCAAGCCCGACCACCACGTTAAGGTAGCAACAACGGTCGAACCAGCATTAATTTAGTCATTTATTTATCAGTCTACTTCCTACTTGTTCTTTAAATCTAATTAACGACAGAAGCTAAACTACGGTGTTCAATTTCTTTATATTATGTTAACTTTTCCACTTGTGTTTCCAATGACTAATTCAAAGCAAGCACTCAGCAACTGCATGAAATTTAACCTAAAGCAATACTTCTGAATTTTGAGTATTTGAGCATTACCATTTGTGCGACCTGTGCTTCTCAAACCCCGCTAAGTCACTACAGTCTGGGT